GTGATGGGTTAAATGCAGAGAACCAATTTGGTCTTTGTATGGGAACATACACTGATGACAACACATAGCACTTTATCTTTATACTAAGGATGCACGATATTGGATTTTTTTCCGATATCAGTTATGTTGAAACTTATTTAGCTGATAACCGATACCGATATTTTTCCTCTGGACCTACTTACGGAGGCTGCACAGCTTTCTCTGCTGTGGAATTAAAACACTACATTGTTCTGTCTTTGTCAGTTGGGCCTGCGACCAAATGCAGATGCCAAACAGGGGCTGAAAATGATGCAACACTTCAACCTGGATTATGTTTAATGTCAAATTTATTCATAATATTTACTCTCTCTAACACAATGACATCACTCGAACAGCGCAAATGTGTAAATTTTCACAAATCTAAACTCAACCTGTTCACAAGCAACAAGGGAAAAGTGTGTAAGTAGTTGTGCATTAATAGATATACTTCAGTTTCTTAAATTAAAAATTAACTTTACATAGAAGCCTTTTGTATCTGTGAGGTTTTTTTTTTTTTTTTAAGATGGAATGGCCGATGTCCGATATTTAACTTTATCGCTAATATTGGCCTATACCAATACCATGCCGATAATATTGTGCATCCCTACTTTATACAATAACCAGGGGTGTCCTCAAGGAGAATCCAGGGGTGGCATTTGCCCGTCATAAATTTGTTGCTTCCCCTGACCTGGCAATCTTATGTGTATAGTCGGTTAGCAAAATATCTTGTGAAACACTCAAAAAGTAATCATTAGATCCACAAAGTACATCTACGGGTTATCTTATGAAGTCAACCGGATTTAAAATGGCCTCCACAGCTAATCAAACTGAGCAAACACAAAAATGGTCTTAACTCAGTCCGTGTATCTGAGTCATCCCCAAAACAAACTTTAAGTGCTAATAGATTACACAAAAAGTTTTTTCAGCCGCTCCTTCGTTCAGGGGTTGCAACGATGCGTGAACTCGCGTGAAAGATTTGTCAATTGGTTTATGCCAGATGTCCTTAATGACTCAACCTGGATTCAAACCGGCAGCCCCAGAATTACAAGGCTGCGGCGTGTAACCACTCAGCTGCCGCAGCCCATGTAGCAGATAGCACAAGAACATGATGAACATCTCCAGTGAGTTGAGGACTGACTGTAGTTACCAGCTGTAAATTAAAATCCAGCGTTAACCTAAATCAGAGGGCGATTATCAAACTTTCACATTGCGGTATTTTCCAAAACCCTCTTTGAAGCCAATAAAACAAAACTCAGGAAATTCTGTCATGGATTTTGGTTTTGATGGTCTGCACCGTACGACCTGTCCAGGGTGTACCCCGCCCATTCCACAGTGACTGGTGGACATGGGCACCAGTGACCCCTCTGACCTGGAAAGGAAGAAGAAGATAAAGATGATGGGTGGGCTACCCCAAGATTAACAGACCCAACCTGGCCACTCCTTCCAAAACCTTCAAGGTTCAAGGAGACTTTATTGTCATTTGCATCACATGTGGTACATGAGGTGGAATGAAATTATGTACTCAAGGTCCCAGTTACACTCAAAAAAGCAATATATAGAAAGTATAAATAACAATAAACAGTAGCTTCTGGAAGCTCCTGTGACACTACCTGGATAAAACATTTAGATGTATCGTACGGCGCATAAAAACCCTCACTTGAATAGTTTTTACAGCGTAGGAAGTTTCCTAACAAGGTGAAATGACCCAGAGGTCTCTTAGTAACAGCCGTAATAGAAGCTGGTCAGATTCTCTAGAATGTTACATAATGGAGCTTCGGTTTTCTCGTTTGTCAACGGACTTTTTAAACCAGTCTTTATAAAAGTTAGAGAATGTTCTGTTCAAAAAGTTTTTGCTTCTACATCTTTAAAATTGTTACGGTGCTACAAATCAGACTCCGTGTTAAAGTGTAGTCCGGGTGGAGCCACCACTGAAAACAAGTTTACGTGTTACCAACTAATTTATCGTCAGGTAATTCAGATAAAGGGGGTGCGGTGGCATTGACCCCGTCAGAGGGAGGCAGTCTTCCAGTCAGAGGATTTGATTTCAAAGTCTGATGCTGAGAAGGTCCTTTAAATAAAGGTGGTTTGTGATGTACTTCGAGTTTTTATATCTAATCACATCTTCCATCGTTACACAGTATGTATTCATTTCTTTACACCGTAAACCTTTCTTTCTCTTCCTTATTTATTTTCTTGCCCCTCGCCTTTCCTCGTATTTCTCCCCATCTTCTCTCCACCCCTCCTCCTCTGTCTCATTCATCAATCTGTTCATCCATCTCTCCTGATCGTCTCTCGGCCTCACAGAGAGACAGCGTTACAATCAGGATTATTTGTCTCCCTTACCAGCCTGCCATCTCCCACTCTCCCTCTCTGCCTCTCCTTTATCATCCCTCCTTCTTTAATCTCACAGCCCCCTCCCTCCAACCAACCATCCATCACTTTCCTCCTGATGGGTCCAGGGCCTCGATGGTAACGTTCACCTCTTTACATTCCTGTCCACCTCCTTGTTTTGCTCAGACTCACTCAACAAACCCCCGTTTGCCTCTTCGAACCGCTCACAGTTCCTCACACTCGATTTAAAACTTCAGGCGTGATTGTGTACGCTTTCCAGCTCCAGAGTTCTAAAGTTAAAATTGACTTTTTTAATTGGTCTTTTATTTCCAGAGTTTGTTATGGATTCCACAGATTTCATTTTCTTAACCAGAAATAGTTTTACTCTAAACTCTGTGGAACTTTACTTCATTTTGTAGAGCTTAGCTCTCATTTAGCATTTAGATGAATTTACCTCCTGATGGATGGATGGATGGTTGGATGGATGGTTGGATGGATGGTCATGAATGGATGAATGGATGGATGATCATGAATGGATGGATGGTTGGATGGATGATCATGAATGGATGGTTGGATGGATGAGCATGAATGGATGGTTGCATGGATGGTCATGAATGAATGGATGGATGGATGGATGGATGGTTGGATGGATGATCATGAATGGATGGTTGGATGGATGATCATGAATAGATGGATGGATGGATGGATGGATGGATGGATGGATGGATGGATGGATGGATGGATGGATGGATGGATGGATTGATGGATGGATGGATGGATGGATGGATGGATGGATGGATGGATGGATGGATGGATGGATGGGTAGGCAGATGGTTGGGTGGATGGTTGGATGGATGATCATGGATGGATGGATGGATGGATGGATAGTCAGAGGCTTGGATGGTGGATGGATGGCTGGATGGATGATGGAAATATTAATGGATGAATTTGAAAAGCTGTTTCAGAATATAGTGGAGGAGTGGTCCAGGTTGTCCATGATGGACAGCAGTTTGGTGGAGGAGTGGTCCAGGTTGTTTCTGATGGACAGCAGTTTGGTGGAGGGGGTGGTCCAGGTTGT